TTCAATGCAGCGGCCTGGTAGTCGTCGTAAAGTAGTTATAGTCGAGGTAGTGGTAGTAGTGGTAGTAGTGGTAGTTGTGGTAGTAGTGGTAGCAGTGGTAGTAGTGGTAGTAGTGGTAGTAGTAGGAGTAGTAGTAGTAGTAGTAGTAGGAGGAGGAGGAGGAGGAGGAGTAGTTGTAGTATGTCTGCAGCTGCATCATGACGGCAGAGTGCGCTAGTGGGGTATGAAGGGTATCGAAGATCATCATTATTACGCTTGCTGTCTGTAGTACCGATAGTCACAAGACCTCTGGGGCTGTCTGTCCCTGGTCGCAGGAGGGGGCGCGCCTGATGGAGTTAGAGAGCCGCTTCCGGTGCCCCGTCCTTGTGAGGTTTCGTAGACATCCGAATCATGCACCAGTGCGAAAGAAGTAATAACTCATCCCGGTTCTGCATGAAAATGCCTGCAAGAGTAAGCCAGGAGCGAGCATCCTGCTTATGCTAATCTGGAATGCAGTAGCGGCGCAGTCAGTGTGTATAACGTCGAATCCGAAAACATCTGCTGCTGAGCTGTCACAGAGGTAGTTGAAAGTTGACACGCAGGGCGCGCATACGGCAGCAGAAGCTGCAGAACGCGGCCATTGTCAAGGCACAGAAGCCGCAGGCCCATGGAATGCCTTAGCCGGAACGGCTTTTCCGTTTCCAGTTCTTAAGTCTCCAGCTCATGGTGGTAGGACTCATATAGTACTTCACTGCCGAGTAGGACTTAGGAGTGCCTTAAATAACACATTGATCGGTCCTAGAGATTAGGTCCTCATGTTAATTTCCCCAACGGTGCAGAAACAGGAAGCATGGTTTGATTTGCTATGCTTTTTCTCGCGCTCTCCTTCGCGAGCGTTTCTTCAGCACATCGGGTTTCATCTCGCTAAGTTTCCTTTTGGTCTTACTCAGCTCGCAGTTCTCGTCTGTCTTCAGGTCGGACAACTCGCACAATAAAAGGATAGGTTTATCGGGAGTAGATTGAGCAGATGTGGCTGAACTGTGCAGGTAGGAGAGCTGATCACTGACCCCATACAGCGGCACGTCAAGCGCCGCCTCGTGCGCCAGCGGGAGAAGATCCATGAGGGCGTGGAGGCCTCCTTCTCCTGCCACCGCAAACAACAACTCATCATGAAGCCGGTCCCCTAAGCCCTAAGCTTGCCCCCTGGCCAGCTCACTTCGCCAGGCCACCCTGCACGTGAATTCCGCTCAGATCATGCACGAACACCTCAAGGCCAGGAGCTTTGAGTTTCCCTCCTTGAACTTTCCTGTCGGAGGGTATTATCTTTCCAAGGCATTCTGTGCAGTGGCCATGCACTGCAGTGTGAGCCATCAAATCCTAATCTCTCAACCAGCAGCCTGTTGCGTCCTTTTGATTCTGTCCGGGTGCGACGACCCTCTGCCCAGGGCGCGGCAGTTTCCATCGTTCGCATCCGTGCCAAGCGGCCCAGGAGCACACAGGAGATACAGCTGCCAGATAGAATTTGTGGGCTTTACGAGCTGTTTCGCAGGGTATGGTTTGCTTTCATGGAGCTTTGGTTCTCTTGACCTTTTGTCCTTGCTGCAAAACATTGCAAAACAGCAGAGCTCAGCTTGTTTTCCCAAGGTACAATCTCACCTCGGACCACGACCCCGAGTGGGTCCAGCGCCAGCTCAATATCCTTGCGCCAAAGCTGCGCTCGCAGTTGGCCGTCAATGTCGGGCCCTCAGAAATGTTGGGGCCTTTGCCGTTACGCAGCCTCGTCATATAATCTTGACATGATTGTCAGACTTCTGTACTTCCTGCACTCATATCCCGGTAGCTTAGGGCTGCTTTCGGCTGCCACTTGTTCCGTCGATGTTTTTCGCATGCAGAGTCCAGAGCTCTGATTGTTCATAAAGCGCATGTCATGAACAGCCAGGGGCAGGGCAAAAACATATCTACTCAGTCGTCCGAGGTGAACATGGGGCAAACGCCCAACATCAAGTTTGTGCCGTACGCGAAGTCGCAGGAGGGTGGGTTCGTTGTAACACGTCCGAGCATCTTCAAGCGAGAACTCTACGAATGCGCAGTGTGTAGCGAAGCAGGCATGTCTCTAAACTTTCGTGCCTTGTGCAGGAAGTGAGGCGCAAGTACCTCTGGCGCTTTGCCAAGGCGATCCAAAATCAGATCCCTGTGGGAGGAGGCGAAGTCAAGACGAAGTGACCAGCAAAGGAAAAGTGTCTTCCCGCCATGACCTGCAAGTAAGAAGGACGAAGCGTTCGGCCTGTCAACATGGGATAGGACTTCTGCTATCTTCTGCTCCTGTCTTGGCTCGAGTGAGCAGCTTGCAGCACCTCTTCTGAGGGATTTGTTCCGTGCCCGCCATCTCGAGCTGCACGAGGTAGCTTGGGCAAGCCCTACAGTTATCTGCTTCTACATTCCTGCATGTCTCGAGGTGCGGAGACGCAATGCACTGCTCACCAGGGTCCGTTCGCTCAGCTTGAACTCTTGGCAGCATGCCGTGAAGTTGCAGGGCACCATTTGCCAATGTGACGACTGGCATGAAGCTTATTTGCCGCAGCTTCCGGTTCGCGTTTTTCCTTTCCTACAGCTTTGACATTTCAGGTCCACGTAGATTGTGCTCCAGGCTCTAGAATCATTCAGCGTCCTGCTTTGTGCATGCAGGGGTTTTGGGAGACTTGACACCAAATTGGAACTCTCACTCACAGAAGCACGGTTGACAGCAGCATGTACAGCGCTTGTCCGCATTCTCAACCGTGAAGACCAGATGGCCGCGTGGAGGCCTCAGTCGGCATTGGACAACCTGTGAAGATTATGTGTGTCTTCACATCAGCACAACAGCCATAGATCCATAGAGATTTGATGGTAGCCAGAAGGGAAACGATACTTTCATGTTCATGGCAGCACTGCTGCACATGCGCATCTGACTTTTTGTAACGGTAGCATTGCTTCTTAAGCATATGTTAACTTCCCTACCTTTATACGCAAGCACGGCAATTAAAGCTACAGTGATTGGTGACCTACAGCAGTCAGCGGGAGAAATATTTAAACTAGTCGCGATCACGTTTAGAATAGCGGAAATCGGAAATCTCAATGCTCTCAAAATCAAGAAGCAATGAAAAATACGACTACCAGGAGTGGCAATTAAACACTGCAGTCGTAGCAGCGTTTGCATCCCAACGTGTGGCGACAAAATAGAATGAAGCCAAGTAAGTGACCCGCTAACACTGCAAATCACAACAAGATTGACTTGCAGAAAGCCTAGGCCGGCCAGCCGCGTGCCCGAGCTGAAAGGGGATCGGCCCTCCAAACCTGCAGTCACGGCATCCGACCCTAAACCCTAAACCCTGTAAGAAATCTGCGGACCGTTTGCTTAGCATTCTGGGCGCCTGCGTTGGTGGGCGATTGCGCCAGAGTCGAGAATTGCATTGCTCTAGGCGAGCTGCTTTCCTTCTGGCAGATTGTCTTTGTATCCGTTAGCAATCTGCAGTTCCACTATTTTGATCTATGTTGTGTTGAGGTGCGCGCAATCTTTGCCGAGCTGCATTCTGCAAGGCGGGCTTTACGATTACAACCGCTCGAACTCCATACATTCGACTTTCCCTGTCCGGATCAAGGCTGAGGGGCGCCTCCGGTTCGGGTCCCGGCTGGCACACTCGCCGTTCTAAAGATACGTGCGACTGTTCAGAAACGAAGTGCTTGTCGGATGCGCCCATGCCTGCGCCCGGCTAGCTTGGTCAATCTAACGACGACGGTCAGGCTAAGTCAACCCAAGCACAGCGAAAGAAAGAGACATAGATAGGCAGATTGGCATCTGCCAAAACGAGTGCAAGCACATCGGTGCATGCATGCGCACATGTGCACATCCGAGCATAGAGATCCTGAGACATCTACATATGCTTATGCACACGAGCACATGCACCTGAATGCATTCATGTATGTATGCGAATGTGTATTTTATGTAGGTATGTGTGTATGTGTATGTGTATGTGTATGTGTATGTGTATGTGTATGTGTATGTGTATGTGTATGTGTATGTGTACGCGTATGTGTATGTGTATGTGTATGTGTATGTGTCTGTGTGTGTCTCTGTGTGTATG